AGTCAAGAAAAAACACGTGTAGGGCTCTTTGGGAATGGTGTTGTTTAAATATACCCAGTCTGGGTTAGGGAATTTTTGAATTTTTGATAATTATGCTACCTTCCCTTATTTAAAACCCTCTCTAAATTAAACACTGTCCTCCAGTCCCAACATGTTTAATTTAGACAGGTTTTAATGTACTATACAAATGTATGAAATTCACGGCCATTGCGTAATCATAAAAATACGTAAATATCCTGACATCGGTAGTTATGAGGATGGTGAGACTCTGCAAGGTTGGGCATATCATGTAGAATTACAGTACATATTTAGCATCAGTCTAGATAGAACGACATTCATACATATTACCCCGTGAACTAGCAAGATGGACGATGATTTTGCTATCTAAGAGGCTATCGTCTCTTTGAAAGTTTCCTAGATGTTTTTCACAAGGACAGTCTTGTGACAGACAGTCTTGTGGGGTAGATATATTGAAGTTTAGCAAGACGTGCTTATATTATCTTGTCTTTCGATGGGATAGCATAGATATCAGGAAGGGGTTTTCGCCAGCCTAGAGGCTTTCATGATCAATAAAAGGGTACTTTTCTAAAAATACGGTCTTGAGTTTTATGACCAATGCTACCAAGTGTTGACTCACACATAGAATGAAAGCAGAACCGAATCCATGTTTTTAAGTACCTGTGAGATCCTTCGCACTGCCCTATAATTTGAAAGTCGCCCAACATTTAACATCTACCTCATTTGAAGATAAAGGGTCATCTTCAGGCATGTGACGCGCACTTGCTTCGCTATTACCAGGACTTATGGCGACAGTTTTGTAAAATGCAAAAAAATTATTAACCTACAATTAAAAGCGCACAGTCTCTATTACTGCAGCGCATGCGTTACATTCTAATCCATCTTGATACTTCAGGACGAGGCAAAATCGCTGATCGTAGCTTCTCCGCAATTTTCAAGGATACTTCTTCGTCTCCCACTAGCCGCGACATATACTTAATCGCGAAATAATTTGTGGCATCATTTTTAAGCAATTCGGCTACAGGGATAGCCCATCGGCTAGTGAGACTCTTCTCATGAAACAACATGGCTTCGATGCTATTCAACTCTTCTTCGCTCGTGCGCATTACCGCATCAACAATCCACCTATGGAGTATCCTAATCGTTTGGCTCGCTGCTAGGACTCTATAGTCTGGATCCTCCGCGACTAGCTTGATCTGGTCAACAAAGTCGGACAAATCAAGCTTTTCTGACAGAATTTCAAAGACCACGGTGTACGTCTTATCCATGATGTTTCCTTCGGTTGAGCCCTGGGGAAATTTGATTATATTCTTTTCGACAGCCCGAAAAATCGCAGAAAACCAGATATCAAATGCTGTGGTCTTGAACATCTTCTCCTTTCGGCGAGTCTTCCCAATCTGCCACCTCACAAAAATGTCCCCAAAAAATTCCAGTGGATTGTTCTTAAGCTTTTTACTGCCATTAGGTGTCATCTTCACACCTAAAGATGACGTGGCAAACTTCACTCCAGCGGCTTTGGCCGCGTTGCTCAATATCTTTGGTGCCTTGTACCTCTCAAATGATTGGTTACGGTCTTCAGTTGCTGTCACACTTCTCATATGTTGAAGACCATGAGGAGATGTGGCGATTAACTCCATAGTGACTACATCAGGGTATGCTAGGAAAGCTGAGATGTACAATGCTATCGCCAAGCAAAGACGCGTCAAAAATCTCACCATCAAGCAGGATTCAGTGTATGAAGTCGAGATACGAAATGCTTTAAATTACAAGTGCCCAACACAAATTCGCTGAAATTTTCTCGAACAAATATTATATTTCCGACGAGATCCGTGATAGACGTGAACAACACAGATTATGTGACAAAAAAATCATGCAACATCCGGAAGTATGCAAGTTAACTTGTACCTTATTATTAAAGACACTTGCATATAAACGACAGTGGCAAACCTTTATAAAAAGACAAAGTCTCGAACAAGTCAGCATTTAAGGAAAACATTTGTCTATGAAGAATCCAATACGTGTAGTAAACGCGCAGTGAATAGGCAGAAATACAAATCGCCGATTTATTACAGTAATCGACAAACAATCACCCAGTAATTGTCGACGAGCGCATCGCACGAAGATCAGCTTGCCAATAACCGACCAAGGCAGCGTTTTCTCATTTTCTGTCACTTAAACCAACTTGGAGGCTGATTGATACCTTCGTTGATATCTTACATCCTCAAACAAATATAAATATACAAATTTATACGAGCGTTTTAGACTGTTGTTCTTCGCAAATAGTTGAGCGAGCATTTCCATATCCTTCTTACCTAACACACGGTGAAATTATTAGGCGGTTTTATTCGCTAACAAAATACGATTACTCAAAACGCTAAAAAGAAAGCACAATCTGGTTCTTTCAATAAAATCAGAAGGAATTGGATTCTGGCTTTCACTTATGTATCTGATGTACCCGCTCACCAATAAGGGACACAATGTAACCCAATACTTTTAAAATTCGCCAGACTGGCTCATAGGCTGAGCAAGGGCACTAAAATTTTTATGAAAACCACATCGCAGTGCCGTGAGAGAACCCCTTTATAAGCGATTAAAAAGTTACCGTCATCACTTACTGTGATCATGCACTCGCTTAAAAATTTGAGCGCACCTTTCATAGACGTTTTCACTAAACATTAGTTCTGCTTATCTATACAGTCTTTCACCGATCCCTGGCTCAAGTGATTTGTAGCTTGGTGAGATACTGGTTGGATACCCATAGCATTCGAATCAAGGAGGCTTAGACGTCCAGTGCGATCGATGAGCAGACGCTTATCACCCGGTACGCACCGATTGCGTGATCCACGAGCAGCATATATGTTAAGATTAAATACAAACGACAAACATGGAAGGGCCACAATTCGGTTTGTCAGCACTCTTTGGACTGGATAGATCAAACATACGAACTCTTGAGTATGTTGAATGTGCTCAGGGCATTGGAATTGATGTTTCAATCAGCATTTGACAACCCACAACATTTTGAAAAACTATTTAGGAATTCGACTTTGAAATTCCAATACCGTCTCAGCCCTACAGATCAGCCATATCGTCTGGACGTTCGCTCGGGTTCACTAAACCAGGCACTGCCAACTTTGCTGCTAGGTCTTGCTTTTCCTGCAATTGAGCTCGTGCCAGGTTTTCCTCTAGAAACAGATCGGCATTGTCTTCACCAGCAAATTCCTTTATGTTGACCAGAAAGTCACGCAAATGCTTCTTAAATGTCGCCAAGTCTCTCGACATATCAAAACAGCCCACTACAAACTCCACCACCTGCGCACGCGACAAGTTCGGAAAGGATGAACCAATCAAATTGGCCACGTAGTCTCTCAGGAAGGCCTATTACAAAGCCAACAGAAGGTTAATGATATCGTTACATGTATGAACTTCAACCAACTCACCGAATTCGTCTGTCCAGGAGGCACGACACCAGTGCTCGGGGCAGACTCCCACAAAGGTACAGTAATATGGTTATTTTCCACAATTGAAAACATGTGACGCAAGATTGCAGCATGCAGCTTGAAGCCAAACTTGTGCAAGCGATCGGTCAAGACGGCGAGAATATCTTGTAGCAGCAGCAGATAGAAAGAACGGTAAAATCCAGCGGCGACCTGCGGATTCTCTTGAATATTTAGCAACAGGGCAAACAGCGTCGCGAGACCCTACCACAGCAATAGCAATAACATGAGTGAATGCCTCCTTAAATCAATAAGAAAATGAATCGTACCGTATCGGCAACGGTACGCTCCGTATGCTTAAATGCCCAGATAATTGAATCTACCACCAGCTTCTGGTGTTCTTGTGGAATACTAAATAGCGCCTCGAAGCAGAAATCATTGACGGCTTGAAGCAGTTTAAAGAAGTTTACTCGGTGCTCGGGAAAGTCTTCAAAATTTTTGGTAATCATTTGAAGCGTACACTCAAATACAGCCTCGAGAATTATGGGAACGGTGGGTGCAATAATGTTTTTCAACTTGTTGATGCTTGTCGCCAGCAAGCTCAAAACTTCAGCTTCTTTTGCTGTAGGCGTCGTGTTTTGGTAGTCTGAAAGGATTGTTTCAAGGAGCTTTGGTAAAAAGTGCGTTGCAACAAACTGCCGAGACGAGTCATCACCTGCCGCATGTTCGACAAACGCGTCCATGAGACGCAGACTTTCTTTCTTTGCACCTCGAAGTGAGCGCACCTCGGAAGTCTTAACGGCGATTTCTCCACCCTGTTCCACCATCAGAGATATGCGTTGCGTGTACGCCACATACACATTCAACATATCTTGAAAAATGTACCCCATTTGTGAGTTAAATCCATTCGGCCCAATGGCTTTGCAAACTTTGACGTTCGTTCGAATGATCTTGATGATTTCTTTGATCCCTCGACTGTCGTAAAGGATATTGACATCCTGTGATGCTTGAGACATGATGGATTTCCAGGCTTCATTTGGAAGGCTCATCAAGCGACCAAGGAGCACTTCCTTACGGCCAGCATCATTTTCAGCAGCGAGCATTGACGCCACAGCCTCGTAAAATGTGTGCACCTGGTGTGTTTCCAAGTCCGACACAATTCGCGGTAGCTCTTCCAGAAGCTCTTCCACAAATGGACGCGTTTCATTACTCTGTAGCACCACAAACTTACGACGGCACTTTTGTGAGATCTTCAGAAATGTATCACATGCCATGTCTTGCACACCAGGGTGAAGTTCATGCATAAATTCAAAAAGCTTATTGACCACTGTGCGTAAAAATTTCCAGTGAGCTCGCAAAAAGCGGGGGTACTGGCCAACAACATACATGATATTGGACGCGACCACAGCCTTGTTGTCTTTGCCACGCTTCATTTCACATAGCCCCAGCAAATCTTTGATTACTGTCACAAGAAAACGCTTCTCGTTTTCTTCACTCATTGCGCCAGAAATGGACCCAATTGCCCAACACAGCGTATTTAAGTTGTTCCACGACCACTCAGTGCCCTCAACCTGTGCCGTAAGCTTTTCCAGCATAATTGTCTCTGTGTCGTCATAGTTCAAATGCGTCAAATACACCAATGTTTCATGCATCGTCTTGTACTGAGATAGCGCCTCAGTGTCTTTCGTCGTCTCGCGTACAATCTCCCCATTTTCATCCTCAACAATCAGAACTTCTGAGGGTTTCACCATCTTCGAAATCATAACGTGACGCACACGGTTCATGACCGGAGACACGAGTTGACGGCGACTACGCAGTTGATTTTGAAAGCCCGCGAGTGGATTCATTTGATTTTGGTCCACTGTATACAAGTCGCGCGTGAAAAAGTGCCAGTAGTCCAAGCAAATCTTGAAGATGCCATCATCATCCACTTCAGCAATGCATACGAGATATGTGAACCCTGCCAATAGCGCTTGATGAACTTCATCGCCCGGTGCAGCAATGGGTCGCTCAATAACCTGAATATGGTATCGAAAAAAACTGGTGAAAAAGATACTTAAGCGCTGCACGAAGACCTCGTCTTGTTCCCAAAAGGGCGTAAACGAAGCGCCGGGCGCCAGAATCTTGCCCACTTCGTTAAGCACACCCATGTACATTTGTACATAAATGCTGTTGTATTGCTCTGGTACATCACGTAACTGGGCAATTTCACTCAAGCAACTGATGGTATCGTTGCGAAACATGTTTGTAGCCAGAAATTTCGTGACGAGTATTTTAATGAGATCCGTCTCAAATATAAAACCAAATGGAATCCAGCTCAAGAAGCGAAGTAGCGTCTGCAGCGTAATTTGGAGAAGTGGAATGTGTGTCGACTTGTTAAGCACAAACTCGCAGAGCTAGCAAGCAAAGTAAGTATAAATATCACATTATATTAAGCATGAAAGACGCACCTGAAAGATCTGCGTAAACTCGTGATTGAGACTTTCCTTAAGCGTTTTGGTCTTTTGCTCCGTCAATTGATCTTTGGAAAAGTCAAAGACCTCTTCACTTAGCAACTTAAGAATCGTCATGTTGTTTTCACACATAATTTCCGATGTTTTGCTCGAGCTGACGATATCCGAGATAAATGAGGGCCAGCTCTGCGGCCACTCGTGCTTCAGCACTTGTACCAGCACTAAATCCATCTTGTTTACAAACATACGCTGGCTATGGAGAATCGACTCATCCGATGACATCTACGCAAACTCTATCAGTCACTTTCTCGCCAAAGCATACCGTAAGTTGAAAATCAACGTACTGATAACAGTTTTCCCACGATATAGCTCTTGATTCCCTCACGTTGGTCCTTCGGCAAAATTTTCCAACGGTATCGAATTGCATCTTCCAAAATCTAAGCATGCAAAGTCAATTATTGGAATTCTGCGTTAAAAAATATTCGAGATTTCACACCTGTAGTCCAAAAAATTTGGTTTGAATGCTGCTTGACTGCTCCAGGATATCAGACGCGCGCGTCCAGGAATCCTGGTGTTCCTGCAGCGCCACCATAATTTGATTGGCAACACGCTGATGCGGACTCTTGGGATCGTTCATGCAAAGCACGACTTGATCCAACGCCGCGACATCAATCGGCTGTGAGAAATCCAACAGCTTTTGGCCCACGGCTTCCATTTAAGTTATCAGTCTTTTTAACTTAAGTGGAAACTTCTAGATTAAACAGATATGAAAGTCAGTACTATTTCAAAATCGGCGGGTAAGTTGAAACCAAACACCAAACGCGCTAATCCCATCAATTATTGCTGCAGGTATATTTACTGCATAATCGTACCAAATAGCAATTTGCCACACCTTACTTCAATCGATTGACACGATTTCTGCTAGTCCAAAAGTCTACACACAGCTGTTTAACGCCCAATGAAATGGGGTCAGGCAAATAACGCAACATGATGAAGGCAGAGGGAAAGCAAGGGGGTAACATCACGTACCAAGATTTCGATCCAGTGTGTGCGTAATGAATGAATGATCTGAACGTTTGAGTGTTCGAGCGTTTGAGCGTTTTGAGCTTGGAAAGGCCAGTGAGCCGAAATCTTGTTAACAGAAGCTCTAGGATTGGTCGAAATGTTTTCTTAGGCCCTGTATCTGATTGGGTAGAAGACACCATTAAGGATGGATGGCACCCGCAGATTCATGTGAGCTACATAATACCTGCTATTTTCGGTATTGCAAATTCTTGTACCAAAGCCGTTTCCTTTAGCAGTCGCGTCGGGCCCTCATCGCCAGCGCGCCCTTGCGTGCCCTGTAGTTCAGCACTTATACAACATACCGCTGCAAAAAGCATAATAACGTGCTGTTAATTTATGTACGCAGATTATAGTGCCATGACTATGCTTACTCGTGCAATACTTATTGCATTATTTGCCTCTAAAGGTCAATTGAAATGCGGACTCCGCTCATGCACACTCCATCGCCTTTGAATGCATCAGCTAATGAGCAACAAGATGAAAATCAAACCGATCATTTGAGCCGCAACTTACAACATGCACCGATAAAGTTTGAAAACGACGATGAGCTACAGCGAGAACAAGAGGTACATTCTCGTGTGGCTAGTCCAGCCAGACCCGCTCAAGCTTTGCCTAATCGTCCAACAACAGATTCAAGAAGTACGCATATGTGGCGGATTGGAAGCCGCCAGCAACTGATAGAACGCACAAGAAACCGAATTTGGCGCTCTCACTATCGTAAGACTTGAAGTCATACTTTGCACTTCTTGATAACTTACAATGTGGTGTCGTGCATCATAGCAATTGAAAATGCAAATTGGAATGAAGAGTATAGCGCTCGACGCGCTGAAAATTCGCCTCAGAGCGACTTTGCCGAAGAAATTGAGAACGAAGCGGCTGAGATTCGTACACTAATTGCGCGAACGGCACAATTGTGGTCAGCAGTAGACCAAGCAGAACAAAGTGAAGCAACCGTTTCAACTGAGTCAGTAGCATTCCAGACATTGCTGCCTCCCCAATTTGACTGTATGAATGAGATAAACGACACGATATGTGAGGATGACGAATATGAACAAGAAAGTGAAAGGGGTCAAGAATTTGAGTTAGAGAGTGCAGATATGGCACGTCAAATAAGCACTTTTTGCACTTCTGATGAAGCTCTTCTCGATTCATTGAGGCTTCTGGAGCATAGAAGGATAGAGCACGAGACACTTGCTGTTGGTAGTGACCATAGTTACGAGACAACAGAATTTTCTGAAGAGGGAAGAGAGGATCTGCAATTTGAACAAGGCGAGATTTTTGATTCAAATCTTACGACTAATGCGCTGAAAGCTCGTGCGATTCAAAAGTCTATGCTGGGAAATCTTGTCCGATTAGGATTTTATAATGATCTGACACAGACAGCGCTTGAAGCTGGTGTATCGGAGATTGATCATTATGACGCAGACTGTGAATTGGCTTACGTTGATATCTTCATGTCGTTGGTCAAAATGGTGTGCGACGCGCATGTAGATGTCTTTAGTGAACAGAATGATCAAGGGCAAGCCACTACTAGCGCGTACAGAGAGGACGCTCAAGGTGTGGAGGCGAACGCGGCTTTTGATGACGAGCAACATTCGTTTCTTCCCTTCAAATGGCCGGTGTTTGACATGGCGCAGTTTGAATTTGGTAACTCACGTGAAAACACATGCTTTGATAACGTGTGTGTGCTTACCAATTTGCCTAAGGTAGCAATGGATCGAACAGAGGAATTGATGGAGATGTTGTCGTGCAATTTGTTCTGTATGCTCGGAGATCCGATTCAAGTGGTCATTCCATCTACTAACTCGTCTGGACGCACAAAAGGCCACGCTTTTCTCGAGTTTGACAGTCCGAATCTCGCTAGGAAATGCGCTTCGGCTATTGATGGACTCAAGTGGGGAAAAGGACCATTTGGACAGATTCGAGGCAACTTGTTTCGCCACTATCAAGTTAAAACTCCTGCAGAACAACAACGATATGCACGTGATTATTATTTCAGCGACAATGAAGGACCAGCGTCTCAACTGCTTACAGGTATCCCAATGGCTCGATATGATGAACGGAGTCTTTTAGAGCTCCATCAAAATCGTATTGCTGAGCGTTTTCGACCTCAACACGAGCATATTCATGAAGTCGCTCAGGAAAATCTCTTTTGCGACAGTGATGACAACAGCAGCGACAGAGATGAATGCGCTAATAATTATCAATTTGAGTCCGCCCACTTCAATCCGTTGTCTCACATGAAATCGTACACCGCTAGTATACAACAAGAAGAGCAAGCACCGCTAAACAATGTCGTTGACTGGCACATTAGAGCGTCAAGCAGCGGTGATTGCTCTTTGCACGTATCAAGTGAAGGAAGCGGAGATAGTTATGAGAGCAGCAGTGCTCTTGATCTCCAAGCTCTCGAAGGAGACAAACTGTTAGATAATTCTGATTACCAAGAGCTCACGCACACCAATTCAAGATGTTCTTCACCTCGTCTATCCGTTTCGTCTAGCGAAGCACAAGCAGCTTCATCGACTGTGACATCAAATGCGTCAGCTGGTGCTCATGAAGCACAGGAGAATTGCGGCACTAGAGGGCAGTCGTGGAGTGTTCACGACGATCAAGAAGGTAAAGACAAGCCTTGGCGTAGATATTGCGAAGACCTTATCGTTCGTAATCGAGAAATGCACAAGCAATTGGTATTTGCGCGTCGTCGTGTTGTCCAGTTGAGCCACAACAATCAGAAACTTCACTTGCTCGTCGACCGTGTCGAGCGAGATCGCGATGGTTTGCTGTATGAGAATGATGTATTGCAGACTCAAGTACACGGTTATGCCGATCACAAAAAACACCACGACTTGCTTATGAAGGAACTCGTGACTCTGCGTCAACGCTTGGACCCAAAGGAGTCTACGCTAATTTCCAGGACTTTTAATCGTCCTCAACATGGCCAGGTAGTTGCAAGGCATGCGCATGCTTCTTTCCATGGCATTCAATCAGCACTTTCCTACGTTTCGGCAACAGTCCTTACTAACTGCAAGATTGACGAACTGAAGGATTGGGAACATGTGCTGGAAACGACATTGAGTCATGTTCGGTCTGCGAAGGAGGAAAAAGCGCTAGAAATGCAGAAGAAATTGGATCGCCAGGTTGAAGAGCAAAATGAACTTAAGCTCTGCGTCATTTGCTTGGCAAACGACAAGACTATCTTGTGTTTACCATGTCGCCATCTATGTCTCTGCAAATCTTGTTCCCGCCGCCAAGAAGTGACTAAGTGTCCAATTTGCCGCCTCGAGATTGACGAGATGCTAGCTGTGTATTCATGAAAATTAATAGCTCTCATCATTGTGTGTTTTGTCGTTGTCGCTTTAAATCTTTTCAAAAGATGCGCATCAATAGGAACTTACATTAAGTGGTTCGCACTAGCTAAAGAAGCAAAACGAATTTAATATGATTTCAAGTAGAAAAATATTATGAGTACTTTTCATTCTCGCAATCATGCATTTTATCTTGTTCGTGCTCTGGGATTGGAGGCTGAAGTGCAGGGTTGCTAGTGCGACTCAGGGAGTAAACGTAAAGGATAGTACTGATAGGAGAGTTTGTGACGCAGAATAAGAGCAGCAATAAAATATTATGCCTCGGAAGTCGCACGGACCAAGATAAATGCTTGCACACTTTGATCATCGAAGCGTGGCCGAGCAGAAATATGAGTTGCAGCATGCTTTTCAATTGAGCGAGCGGTGAAAAGCTACAACTTCGCTTTGCAACCAATTTATTTTAGGCGGATGTCATAAGCTTGCATCGACGCTTCAATCAAATCAAGCGTATCAATTTCCGACCTATTGTCAAAGCACGTCCAAGCAACCGATTGTCGTACGAAAATGTATTAACAGAGCAAAGCGATAACCTTTTTGTAACAGTAAAAAGATTGATAGATACTTTGAAGCCAGCTTGCAGTATATTTGAATTTTGGATATCTTGTCTAATTGTGACAACAATGATGGCATCAGGAAAAGCACATTATAATTCTCAGGGTGACTGAAACAAATCGATAATTTAAGGCAGTGCTGCAACTTTGCACGGTCACGACAAAAGGCTTAACTTTTCGTCGGGGTACACGCTGCTTACAGTCAGAAAAAAAAGTTTTGCCGTCGAGCAAAGAGGATTTTGTTGTCATCAATGGTGAATCAAAAACCATTTTGAGCTGCACTGTGGATGAGATGATCCTAACAGCTTATTTCTTTCCGCTTATTTATTTGAGTTCATCAATAACTGACGAAATGAGCAGATAAATATTCAAAGAAAGAAGTTACAGCATGTCAAAGAGTGCATTTATACTCGTATATATAGTTGCAATCAGATATTTACCTTGATAGTAGAAAGCATTTTCGATTTTTACTTCGCGTTTGGAATGATTAGATCTTTGACTATTCTCTCCTATTTGATACGAGTCTTGTCAAATTGTCAAAGAGATTAGAACTAGCAGCGGAGTCACCAGGGCATAATGAGCATGTGCCTGTATAGCATATATCTTGCTTGGCACGATGTTTCAATAGCAAAGATGACGACGTCTGAAAAAAAATGATTTCTTCTAGCTCTTGGTTGTACAAACGTATGGCGATGACAGCGTCTGCATCCACGACTCGAAGGGTTGAGCGACCAAACACAGCGAGCGACCCAGGATAAGCAATTGTAATTTAAAGCAACACGCCATAAGGATATCGAAGTATTTTCTTTGATATACCTATTGGATAGGTATATCAGGCTTTTCGTCGTTCTCTCGTCTACCACTGATAAGTGGTTGCATTCGATAGCGACTGCGATGACGTCTTTAGTCGACTGATAGCGAAAAGTGAATAAGTGTGTGCGTGACACAAGGCACCCACTTAACACCGTGTGCTTACCTTGTGAGAGGTCGTCGCAAGTCGAGGTTATTGTGCTTTCACTCGTGAAATAGTGACTGAACAGATTGTTGCGTGAGATGGCGTGCATTCTTCCGTTCAGTGTTCTATTGATGAAAGACAATAGAGCAGAGGTCGCCATTTTTGTCTCACGAAGTCAGTCCAACAACAAAAAGATACGAATAGTCGAAGCGTTGCAACACATTTCGCCAAAAGATCTTTCGAGTCTCCACCTGCGCGCTAGTTCATCAGTTAATACTTCTTCATGATGAATATAATTCTAAAGCAAAAGAGGGCTAAGAGGAAGGAAAAGTTTCGTGTGAAAATGTGGTTGAGCGCCATTGCTGCAGTCAACGACACGATGTCAAACAAAATTTTTGCTGTTTTGAAGGCTAATGCTGCGAATAAAGATCGAATGAAGGCTGATAAAAAGGCTGCTTCATCAGAGAGAATAGCTCGGCAAGCAATGAACGCTCATGATAAAGTCGACCACCAGACCGAGAAAACGAGGCACCGAGAAAAGGCTGCAAAACTCAAAGCCAGAAAGCGGGCGTCTTGTGCAAGGGGGGAGCGATCCAACGCCACACTTAAATTGGTTATGGCCTCCAAGACGGATGTGCCGACCTTACGAGAAGATGAAATTATGTCGGCCGTCGTGTAGGCGGTGAGCATAGGATAGTGTTTTTGGGGTTGAGTCATCATAGTATGGGTATATTTAAACAAAGTAGCAAGCATTTTTGGTCCCCAGGATCTGATTTCTCATTGGCTTCAAATTGTCAACATTTCAATAAACCAGTAGCTTGGCTTCGATTATGGTAGCAATGCTTCTTGTTCAAGCTATTCGCATCTCCTTAACGATATTCTAGTCCGTCAGTTTGCACACAAACTTAGGTGACATAAAGATCGAAATCTGTTGCGATACTGCGCCCCGTACAGCTGAGGTAAGTTTGACATACGACACTTGTCCTTATTTTCTTTTATCAATTTCTTCCATGCAGAATTTCTTAGCGCTCTGCGCAAGTGGTGCGTATGATGGCACCAAATTCCATCGGTAACTCTTTTTCTGAAACTCAATCGAATGCACTTTATCCAGACTAACCATTTGCTGATTTGTAGTAATATAAAGGGATTTATGGTGCAAGGTGGAGACCCCTTGGGTACTGGCAAAGGAGGTGAAAGCATTTGGGGTGGAGCATTTGAGGATGAATTTCACCCTCAGAACAGAGTACGGCTAGATCATAATTGTAGAAATTTCGTAATTAAATGGCCTTGTTGTCATAGCACAATTGCCGAGGAATCGTATCCATGGCTAATAGCGGTCCCAACACCAACAAGCAGCAATTCTTCATTACGTATGCCAAGCAGCCGCACCTCAATAATGTATACACAGTATTCGGCAAGTACGTGAATAGTATTTATATTACTTAAATTGAACTCGCAATCTTTTCGAGGGTCAAGTGTACTAAGGAATAAATACTGCATATGACATCCCAGAGTCATTGATGGCATGGACACGCTCGATGCCATGGAGAAAACGCTTGTAGATGCCAAAAATCGACCGCTTAAGGAAATTGTCATTAAATCGGTCAGTATTCATGCAAATCCTATCGCTGAAATGTGAAGACCGGGTTGAAACGAGTCGTCTTTATAAAAGTTTTATTTGTTTCGCACGAAACGAGTCATGAACAGCGTGATATCATCCGGCTTTTTCGTCTTCATCTCTGCCATTAATTTGAGCTGCATAAGTGAGTAATGGTGCTTGCGTGATGGCCTGCGTAAGAGTAAGTGACGGTCAAGTGTCTGTTTCCCTTTATGTCGTTCCATCAGCTCAAGTGACACAGCCATATGATCCACCCCGCTAGCGTCAATAATGCCTAGTTTTGTCTCTTGTATCGTTCGTTCACGATACTCCACTACCGCCGCGGTCGCAAACGGATAAAAATTTTCTTCATTATCTTTCGCGTCCGTCATTTTTGACATATCCACCAATTCATTACATACACTTTGCAGCGCAGACTCCTCCGCACTGCAAACTTTAAGAGCAGCTAGTATGTCGTCCTTGTACACATTATCGCCTATCCCATCCGTAAACGTAAGACAAATATCGCCTTCTTGTAATGCATAGGTCTGGACAACATAATCTTTAGCCACGACTTGTTCTTTCAAATTAACTACCGTTGGAACATTAAATTCCCGCAAGACAGCCAATGTCTCATATACTACAGCACCCTGTCGAACTATCAAACACTTGGAGTCTCCTAACGTAAATGTCATTAACCGACCCATCCAGCGATTGAAGTACGAAACAGCCAGGGTTGTCGCTAGTCTAGATTTCCTGTGCTGAAAACAGTTGATTCTCGCTGTTTTAATGGCGTCCACAATTGCATTTTCAAATGCCAGTTGGGTCACTGATTCTTTATTCTGATTTGTGAGCTCTTTAAGCGCGACTTGCACACAATTTACGACTTCAGCTGACAAAATGGCCGAAGACACGGGGATTGCATCGGAATATAATAAGGACTGGCGACTAAACGGAGACGAAACACCATCGGCAACAATGTGAAAGTAATTGGACCCTACACCTGCGTCTTCTCCATGATACTCAAACGTGGCTTGTGCATGTTGCAATTGATCGTGCTCACTCCACTTGAATCGCTGCCTGGTCACAGGTGATGGTGACGGTCCTCGAATTGGGTTATTTACCTTCATAGGTAGTCGCCAGCCTCCAGTTGGACTAGATTTTTTTATGATCTTGTCTGATCGTGAGCGCAGCGTGGCCAATTTTTGGTGCGTTCGACTCGAGACGTTGTGCAAGGCACTAACTAGCGCCTTGGCTGGAGCTGAAGACGTTCGTGCTCGTGGTATCAGGTCGCTTAGGGATAAGGCACGACGTTTGTAGGCAGAGAAATTAGACTCATGTGTGGGAATAGGCACGTTTGGAGCTGAGATCCACGCCAGTTGATCCTCTTCGTCTTGAGATGAGGGATGGTCGATCACCACTTGCATCGAGGGCAGCGGAGGCAGCGGAGGCAGCGTGAGTGGCATGGCGCTGCTACCTGTAAGATTCTGGCGTGACACTGTAAGGTAAAGTCCAACGTTTTGACCAATGTGGGTGGCTATTGCAGCTGGTTTATTTACTGTCTGGCTGACAAAATGTGATGTCATGATTTAAAAAGCGTACCCTCTCTTTTCGGTGGCTGTTGGTGTGCAGACCAGTGCCCAAGACTGGCTTTTTACAAGAAAAAGGGGCGTTACCAGTGGCTGCCAGCCCGATTGATTTGCGCATGGCCTGTACAGAGTTAAGCTACAGCTTCTGAATTTGTATCAGTTGGATATAGTGCTAGTTAGGAGCCGCACTTGACGTCACACAAGTGTGCTTACTTATCGGAGTTCCGAGTGTCCAATTTATGACGATACAACTCTACCTGCATCTAAGCGCATTCCGTCTTATGAAATGGGCTCAAATGTTGAGCTGTCTGTGTTTGTAATGCCCTTTGATGCTTATACATACTTTGCTCGGAACAAAATACATCGTTCTATACAAGATGGTTACTTTTATATGCACAACAATATGGAATAGCACTAGTACAGCAGTTGAGAAACGACGACGGGTTTCTAGCGTCTGCGCAGCTCATAATGTGTAATCATTCTTGCAAAATAAAGCCTGCAACGAAGGTGGTGCGCTGAGGAAGATTTGGACCATTAGTCCCACCTTTATTTACCATCTGGCTGTGATGCATTATTGATATTCGTTTTGTCATCTGATTGTGTCCGATATGTACCCTGACCATACTATAAAGTAGCATACGTATTTTCGTCGTGATATCTAGTTGGCTAAATGTTCCACCTTAGAACCAGTTAGATTCAAAGACAAAAAACTGCTTAGTGATAAAGTAGTGACCACGCACAAATGGATGTTATGTGTAGGATAGGAGGAAGATGTGCAGAGGATAATTTATCTCAACGATGCTTCTGCGTTACTATCGAGGTGACGGAGCGGAATTGATTTTTCTGTATAATCAAAATAACACACCACACTACATTCCTTTTCGAAATTACTGATATTCCAATACTTATATTCACACCAAGTGTGATGTGAATTTCGTACGATTGTCCTATATAGTATTTACCACAATTATACCAAATGTTAGAGCACAAGCCCCCAGACTAAAACGCGAACCAAATCTGATTTCGCACTTTGTTGTCATTCTGCAAAAGGTACTGCTTCCCGAGCAACAACGGCACCTAGTTTGTCAATCCACACTCTCTACTTTAAAATGCCTGCTCTTCTGAGCATACATGCACCGAGACTCCGCTACCATGCACCAAAAAGTTGCTAAACTGGCATGTACCAAAAGCACGTTCTCTGCGGAAGACGCGCTCAAAGCATTTCTCGGTGAGGATGCCGATGTGCTCGCCGATGAGAACGGTCACAGTGATTTTTCGAGTCCCGACCAAAAAAGTTCGCCCTCACTTGATTAAGAGGAGGTTCTCACTGAGTCCATGCACGGACTTCAGGCTTCGTGCAATTTTCTATCGGCGAAGAGATTTTTCGATACCCCGCAAAGAACCCCACGACGATGTACCGTTCGTTGCCAACGAGCTTAAGAATTTCAATTGTTAGCTCAGGAATTATGCGAGCGCTTGCCAAAATTACGTCGTGGTTACAATTTTTAATCGTCCAATGTCGCTCGCCGACCAAAATGAAACAACTGTGAGAAAGTTGTCCCGTGGGTGCATTTTTACCCCAAAGGCCATCACTCTCCAGGAGAATTGTCTGCGGTTGGAGCATGAGAGGTTGTTGATACCCGTATCCTCAATGTAGGATAACTTTGAGAACTAGAAGCTAGTGGGAAAACCGCTGAGTATATTACTTAATTTGCCCATTATATGAGAAAAACACGTTGCTGCACCCCACTTAATGCTTTATCAGGCAGCTTCGACGAAGCAGACATCAGCCTAGAGCGTCGTCTTATGCTTGACTCGCAAAGTTCAAAGCATGGCGCGGATGACGACATGAAACCCCATTACCACAACTTCCTGCAATTTACGGCCCCGCTCGTCTTTATGAAAAAGTATCAGGAGTTACTAACCGCGAATCTATCTCACTACAAGGCCGGTCGCCTTCTACTAGTATGAAGCTCGGTGCGATGGGCTGACTAGCCTCTTTTCCAAGAAGGATCAAGGCCGAAGGTGCACTACCAGTGTGGAACCGTACATAAGGCTGAGGGCAACCCTTCCACTTCAACAGGGACTGGCGACAGTCCAGATTTATCCGCCGGCTTACCGAACACTCCACATGAAAGTGGCTCACATATTTAGCACTCGGGAGCTCTCTCGGTCAGGGCGGTACTTTAATTTCACCGAGAGTAACGGCGTACGTCCGAGACTGACATAACTCAGATTTAAATTGTGCACCATGAGATTTGAATGCACTGCCCAGCTAAGGTAGCCCAAGCTGTTTAGAATGCGTCGCTGCTTTTAGGCAGAGGGTAGTTCGGGTACGGGGAATGTTAGAGACGTCGATCGTCTGCAACAGAGCTTATTGCTCCAAATGGCATGTAAGAGCAGGATCGTGGTTTGGTTTCACTATGCTACATAGAACATGAGGTGATTTCGTATTTGCTTCCAGTTATTTAAAATATGAATCAATCCCCTTTTTCGCTACGACCGTGAACGATTCGATGTAAGGCGGTTCAACTTTGTCTGATAGACCGCATACACTGGATGTACAGGTAGGGTAGCTACATTCAATATTTTTATCTATATAGCACATTCAGGTGTGTTCAATTTGCTTCTAGCATCGGCGTGCCACTTTTAATTGTCCTGACTCCCGTTTATATCTTCGCCAACCCGGCGCATGACGCTCAATATCATCGAGATAAAACCACAATTTTTGCCGCGCAGTTTTAGTTAGGCTGATATCAGCAAAACGATTTTGTTCGACAGACCCTTCTCAATCTACGATACTGAAGCCACTTCGTGGCGGAGCCAAAGGAACCTAGGGTTTACTTCACTATTTATGTAGAATGCCGAAAAGCCTATACAGGTCTGTAGTGCGTTATACGGCGCAATTTTAATGAGATGGGGCAATGCATTACAGAACCGCAACATCTCGACGCAAGTAGGTCGGAAAAGTTTTCCACATTGCAAATCACGCGTTCCGTTTCACCATCTATTCGCAGAAGTTCAGTGGTTAACATATATAATCTGCCGCCGAGTACGTCGAACGATGTCTGCTAAAACTCCGCTGTAAAGTGAGGATTTTTACTTCAAACAATGACTACTGACAAACCATGTTAGAAAAACTTTTGTAGGGAAACGGCTTGGTTGTATCCGCATCGATAACATCATTTTTGACAGCTGTAATACAAACCATCTCACTCAGCGGTCCGGAAAGACCTGCCGGACGTGTCGTTTGGTAAAACAAAACAAGTCCATGCTGGAATGTCAGCTCTCATTTGAAACCGGTAGGCTGTTCAATGGTACCGCCACATGGGGCTAAGGTCAAATTCGCTGACACGTTTCGCACGTGCGCTATGTCGTTTCTCTTCCGTGATTTACCACACCAGTGTATGATAAGCGCCTCATACAGAATTTTATACTTGACGTCCTTGTCATGAGACACCATTATGCGCTGAGGGTCATGCGGACGATGCTGCAGTACAACAAGACTCGGAAAAGGTCATCGCAGTGTGGACGTGCAGCCAACACTTCAACAAACTTCTCAAACTTCTTGTTTTCTAAAACCTCCAGCGACACATCTGCATCAAATCCGTACGCTGCACGTATCGCCTCAACAATCAAAGATGTACCTATTGTGAAATACAATGATTCATATTTGGGGCGAACTGAAAGTACATTGGATACCACATTAAGTTAACCCAGCTTATTGCTTTCCTCAATTACATACTCGACAATAAGGATGTTTATTTGCCATTCCCTGATTGAGACGTGGTGTGGTGACAGTGACTCATGATATTTACATATCAAAAATGGGTTAGAGATAAGCAGATGCACAACAAACTTGACAAGAGCAGACAATATTCCAAGTTGTTCCTTGTAACAAACAGATAGTTGTTTTTTAATGGTTTTGGCGGGTGGAACTCAGGTGTGATCATGCTACTTGAAGCAAAACGCCGCCTATTAAGTATCACGTAAGCCATAGAATGGCCGATTTGGATTCGGAAGAGTCCGAATTGAAACACGCATGAGGCTTTCTTAACAGTCTAGACAACCATATCCTCGTTCACACTTCAATTCCGTTCATATTATCTTAATCACCAGACCAAACTGATTCCTCGAATCATTTTGCGAAAAAGGCACCGGCCAATCTGCAAAAGCATTATTTGCAGGATCTGCCAGCAGGCTCCGGCGTTCTAAGGAAGCAAAATTTTATCGGCGCCGAAGACACACCTGTCCAAATAGGTGAAAGCTAATCTAAGCGTTTAAACTTAAGAAGTATTATTTGCAATTGCTGAATGTGGCTCGCACAAACTTCGAAAGTTCTACACGACAATAAACGAATATATGGCTGGAATAGGAATGGGCATAGTCATGATGGGGAAATAGCGGCTGCGACACCAGACGGCGAGCGCCGCTTTTGCATAAGACAGATAGTAAGCCGCGTCCGGAATATTCGGCTCGAAGTTCTTATCGCAGGGTGGAGATTATCGCTGTATCTCATCGGCATTTGGTTATGCCCATCAGCTAGGTTGATAACACTGAACAAAGCATAGTCCATCATACATGCTGTAATGCAACATATTCTTGCTAGAAACCGACGTTTGCTCCGGAATCGTGACAGCATTTAGCTTATTTAAGCGCACACGAATGGTTACCCGCTCTTTGCTATTCTGCCACCGAAAGGCGGCGCCGACTGCGAAATTTACTTTTGCGCGCCAAACTCGGTTCGTGCTTTGCACGGAAGAAGCGTCAACGACGTCACTTCGTTCACTAAGCGAGAGTTATTGCCGTGTTACGCAATATTTGGTTCCGAAAATCAAGTCCTTGAAAAATAACCCCTCTCTTCGGGCTTACTCCGCATGACGGATCTCTCGCCACCACGTCGCGCTATTTTTAACAGAGGATTAATTAATGCTATGTACTCGTGAGACGGCCGCTTCACTCTCGCACTCAGAGCTCCGCGAGTGTCCTCAATGACAGATTCATCCATGACGAAAGATGATCTCAGCTCCTCCTCCCGTACCAACCGTACCATTTCGATGATCTCTCCACCTTGTGTTTTCTTGCACACATCCCGCGAGATATCTTCTTTAGCTCTGCACGAGTTTCGGCTGGAGGTAGTGATGGGATACTTGCAACCTCTAGGATAACCTCAGACCACTTCATTCGTGATTAAATTAATGCTTCGTTGACTGATAGGAAATATACATGTTATACAATCTCTTATAAAACTTTCTGACGTGTACAGAGCTCCATCATCTTCGGAAATACCGATACTTCGGTATTTCAAATAGTGCAATGTAAATTTAACTTAATTGTATCGTAATATATTCAATACAACTGAATCTATTGTGCAACCGCAACAAGTATTATACGATAACATCTGATGTACTAAACCTCATTTACAATTTTATTTGTCTATTTGTGTAGGATCAAAGAGATCCACTACAATTATTTGCCAAACTACCTAAGATCAATACGATGACAAATCACAAAACAGCTGTTGAATTCTCACCAGTCTTTTTTCATGTACTGAGATCAAACTCACATTATAACCATGCGATCACTCTGTCATCACTTTCATCGGTCTATCACTACGTACGCGAGCTCTCTCCAATCTAATCTCTCATTTCAGCGTTCAGATATTATACGTAAACCTTCTGCACGCTATTTCCAGAATTTGGGTCTCAACGACATGCTATGCGATCGATTAACGCAACTTGGTCTTACTACTCCCACGTCTGTCCAATGCAAGGCCATTCCACGCATTCTAGCGGGCGACAATGTGGTTGTAGCGGCTGAAACAGGTGCTGGAAAGACGCTAGCTTTTCTTTTACCTATAGTAAATCAACTTCGCTGCAGTTCGATATCACCCAGCGATATGCGTCTACCAACTGCGCTCGTGCTCACAACGTCACAGGAACTTGTGCGACAATTGAGCGCTGTATTGCATCAAATAGATCCGGAGATTGCACAATTGTCGATATGCTTATTGTCGTCAAAACAAACCCTAGGACAAGGCAATCGCGCGTGTCCGCTTCTTCTTGCCACACCTGGCGCACTATTACGGGCTACAAAACCTAAAGACTTTGCTTTTACGCAGATTGTTGCAGTAGATGAGGCCGATATGTTATTAAGTGGTGGTTTTGAGAAGGAAACGAAACAAATTCTCGCAACAATTCAAAACCAGCCGTTGCTGCGAGCCGAATTGAACAGATGCAGCGATGAAGTGAAAGAATATTGCGATCAAGAAGGCAATTGGACAACTCAGACTCAAACCATCTTTAGTGCGGCGACGATTCCAGAATATGGTAACAGATCGGTGCGCCACTATATCGATCGAAAGTTTCCGTCTGCAGTATTTGCAATCACTGAGGTACTTTTTTATAAAATGCTTGAAAGATGAAATGAAGATTGCTCTTGACACAATGTTGTAGGGATTCCATCGCGTTTTACCAAAATTGACACTACGCACACATAATTTGCAAGAATTTATACGACACAATGAGTGTAACGACGAGCACCACGCTCGCTGTGAGCTTCTGTACCAAATTCTTATGTCCAAGAATGTACATAATTTGGAACTCGTCCAAAAGACGCTTGTGTTCACAAACTCGATCGCTAGCGCTGATGCGTTATTCGACTTTCTGGAAAAGAACAAAGGCATGACCAATTGTGCAGTATTTCACAAGGGAATAGATCGATTGCAACGTCAAAAGTTATTGAAGCGACTAGATAGCGACGATGATGCGGACAAGAATCTTGTCGTCATTTGTACTGACATTGCTGCACGGGGTCTTGATACAACAAAAGTGGGCCATGTGGTACAATTCGAGTTTGCTAGTGATATTGTGAGCTATTTGCATCGTATTGGACGCACGGGACGTGCAGGGACCCTTGGAATTGTCACTAGCATTGAATCTACCGAAAACAGTCTTGTGCTGGAGAAGATCCGTGAAGCTGGAACGGCTACACTACAGAACGCTTTCAGTCGGAAGCGCAGTCTACGAAAAAAATTTAAAAAGGCACAGCTGGTTCAATCTTCTTAATTTGCGAGTTCTGCGTCCCCTCACGGCGAAACTCCTCCTTGGTGTCGTTCCATCAACATGACACAACAAAATTAACCACAATTCCATTAGAGCTATTGTTTTGGTCTGATTTTTCTAGACGCAATGACAGATACAAAAGAGCTCAAGTTGCGCAGAGTCATCGGGTATAATGGTACGAGCTTTGGCACGTAAAATGTGTAATTTGATGAAGCTTATTATTTACAATGATACAAGGTTCATATCCCAATACGCTGATTTACACCACGGACGGCAGATATCTCATTTACTCGCTTGGCCTTGCAGTCATAGTCAAAGATATTCAACGTAACACGCAATGTTTTTTACGTGGACACACGGATGTCATTACGTGTTTAGCAATCTCAAATGATGGAATGAAACTTGCTTCAGGACAACAAAGCAAAAGTCGTGGTAACAAGGCCCCAATCCTTGTTTGGAATCTGACAGAAGCGACTAAGCGACTCAGATCCTCTACGGAGGGTAGTGATAGTGACGGCAATGACAATTTTGTGATTTTTCGTCTTGTACTGCACATGGGCAAAGTACAGGCGCTTACCTTTTCGGCCCGAGATACGTTTCTCTTTACTGTGGGTGGTCAAGATGACAATGCACTCGTGTGCTGGAATATGGAGAATGGCGAACCTGTTTGTGGTACACCTTCCGGAGACGATTCCACTCTAACGGTTGCTGCTTTTCATCATGAAGCGAATGATGAGTTACTGGTTACAGGCGGTAATTATAACATTACTGTGTGGCGCGTCGAACACAAGCAGCGTAAATTACATGCGTTGCGTGCGAATCTGGGTAATTTAAAACGAATTATCACGTGCATTGGCGTGGCACCTGATGATAAGGTGGCCTATTGTGGCACGAAAACGGGGGATTTGCTGGAAATTTTGCTCGACTGCGATTTGACCAAGCCTAACTGTCTCTTTCCGCCTGTAGGCATATTAAAGCCTCGGTACAGCCGCACAACCCAGGAACGCTTTAGCCAAGGCATTGGGACACTTGTTGTTCATGATAACGAAGAAAATCGGCGATTTGTGTTGTTAGGCGCTGGAGATGGACATCTTGCTGTCCTTCAGCTTGGCTCTGCCAAATCAGCTTCAGATGGCTCAAAGACCAAGCCGATTGCCACAGCGTGTTTAGAAAACCTCATGGGCAGGGTCACAGCATTAAGCGAAGGAAAGCACGGTGACTTCTACGCTGGCACGAACCACTCAAATATCTACCAGTTTCACTTAAAAGATATTTCCAGTGGTACATCACACTCAAACAATCGGCCAAGTTCTAAGGAGATTGGACTACACGTGATGCTGCGTTCAACTTGTCATTATAGCAGCATAAATGACATTATTTTTCCCAGTTCAATTACACGTAGTCCAACTGAAAATTCGCATCTATTTCTTACGTGTGCCAAGACTGACATTCGTATCTGGAATGCTCGATGCTGTCAAGAAATTCTGCGCGTTCAAGTGCCGAATCTAGTGTGTAATTGCATTGAGCTTACTCATGACGGCGGACTTGTAGTCAGTGGATGGGATGATGGGAAAGTACGTGCATTTTATCCAGAGAGTGGTAAATTAAAATTCGTCATTCAGGATGCTCATAGTGAATCGGTAACTGCCATTGCAGTTTGCAAGCCATCCACATCTTCAGCTTCTGAATGGCGATTGATTACAGGTGGAAACGATGGTCGTGTGCGGGTATGGCGTATCACATCGTCGAGACAGACGATGGAAGCGTCGCTTAAAGAGCATCGTGGTCCAGTAAATGCCATTCAAGTAGTCCAGGATTGTACCTCTTGTGTCAGCACATCTTCGGACGGATCTTGTATTGTGTGGAACCTCGAGACATTTGTGCGAACTCAAGCCATGTTTGCTTCCACTGTCTTTCGTAGAGTTCTCTACCATCCAGACGAAAGTCAATTACTCACTTGTGGGTCAGATAGGCGTATCACGTACTTTGATGCGTACGATGGTGAAGCAATTCGAATTTTGGAAGAAGCTGCGGAATCCGAAATGCTGGCAATGCATATTGAACATAGTGGAACTTTATTTGCGACAGGTGGACGCGATGGTCTGTTAAAACTTTGGCATTATGACAACGGAGAGACAGTTGCTGTTGGTCGGGGGCATAGCGAAGCCATAAATGCAGTGAAGATCTCGCCCGATCGAAAGGAAATCATCACTGTTGGTTCGGAGGGGGCAATCATGATCTGGGAAATGGGTGATCTCCTATAGCTAGCTTTTGTTATGTTGACATTTTCAGCAGTATAGCATGGCGAATCGAGAAATTGTAGCGAAAAATTCGATTCGATACTTCCTCACATTTTACATGTGAGATTTAGATATACGCGGTCTAAGAAATTCAAAAGGTGTTACAGTCATAATCGTAACATCGATTTAGCAGTTCTTCCTGGAAAATATTTTGTCCTTCACAATAAAATAGCTTACAAAAAATTGATGGCTGCTTCACGACACATATACTTACGTTTCGGACAATTAAGAGTCAAGCGACGACGCAGTATTTGCAGGAAGTCCCTTCTTCTGACAACGCAAACATCGCTCTCCATCCGGTTTGCGAAGCCGAATCATCTCACACATCATACACTCACTTTGAGAAATGACTTCAGTAGTCTTGGTCTGAGATCCCTCGGTGTTATTTGATCGAAAGCCTCCGTTTGCTTTCTCACGTTTTGTTATGTCCACGATAGTCCTAGGCGATTCGTTGCTTTTGACTGAACTCACTGGTCGCGAAGTGGAGGAATTTGCAAGTGCTGAGACAGTAGAGATCGCAGATGCGGAGGTTGAAATACGCGATGCTGTTTGCGTGACAGATGCTGACGAAGTAGAGACGCTCAATTTAGCTATAGATGACTTACGTGTTGAAGAATGTGGCGATTGCCTCGGAGGTGCAGCACCCAAGTTGTTCGCATCTACAAATATTAACAGAAGCATTAAACGATGAGCAAAAACGTACCGGTTAATAAAGAAAATTGGCGCACAGACACTCCTTACCCTGGTTTGCTGATGTGATCATCTCGTGACTAGAGGCGCAATCAATTTTTAATCTTGCTGTACCATCAGACTGATTCATGTTCTGTGAAGTGACGGGGGATGGTGGCACAACTGAAGAATTGGGCTGTGTGGTAGGAGGTGCATCAACCAATGGCTGTGTTTCCAAATGATGGTTTGTGCCATCAGTAGACCTCTGCTCAGTAAGAGTAAGCTTGTTCACAACGTGCCGTGTATTTTTTGTAGATGGTGGTGAATTACCAGATGTGATGGAGTATTCATTTATTTTAACACTAGGTGGGGATGCATGTTCATCGTTGCTCGCAAAACTTTCCAGACCAGAATTCATCTCTTCGCTTAAATTTGGCTCCATTTCCAAGGCATTACGTACAGCTTCGATTTCTCGAGTCGGATGCGGTGTCCCTCGGCCACATGCCAATACAAAATGCAAGCCATTTATGGTTGCGAGCCGAAAAGCCTGTCGTTTATCTTCATGGCTCCCGCTACCAATCTCGACCAATCCAACGACAAAATTCCAATGGTGGAGCCTTGAGCCACAGAAGAAATTTGCTTGTCTTGGAAGCGAGAATTCACCAAAAGGTGCTTTTAATTCATTCCACGCCCGGAGAAAGATATAACTTTGGTCGGCTCGGTCGCCATATTTATGTCTATAAAATGCAAGGGATTTTTCCATTTCTTCGTACAATATACGCCATGTCACAGCCTGGGCTCGCACCTGCTTAATTATTTCCAAATGTAACATCACAGTCGAAGTATTTTGTAACGTAAGCCAAACCCGTTCACGCACAGTCACCGTCGCTTTCAAGCCTTCCATCTTAATTTGGAGGTCAAAAGGTTTGCAAAGCCGTTCAATACGCTCAACATACTTTAAATACCAATTCATCTTTCGTGGCTTCTTCGTGACGTTAAAAACTGCTTCCAACGACTGCGGAAGCACGTGAATAAATACATATAGCATACGCGGGATGAATTCTTCATGGTACGAGAATGACGCGGAATCGTTATCCAGACCCGCTTTATCAAAAATTTCCCTATCACGCACTACAGGTGGGACATTGAATGTCCGAGAGCGCTGAAAAGTATCAGCATGCTGTGGAGATAAGGGTTGCTCACAAAGAGGCTCTTTTTGATACAGTGTCTGGCTTGATGGTGATGGCATCGGATTTCGGTGAATTTGGGGTGGACAGTCATAGCCATTTTTGCTATTGCTAGGGAACAAGGAGGCTTGCGTACGTGGTGCACTACGATTCCAAGACGAAAAGTTGTGATCGCGAGGTGAAAAGCTGTGACCTTCCCAGGGCGCTGTAGGTATATTATCGTCTGAAAGCATATCACCGCGCCCCTCAGATCGATCTCGAATTTCCGTCCTGCTTCTGTTTATATCAAAATTTGGCCGTTGATCTTGTGCGTCGGCTTCTGCATACTGTCGACGGGAAATTTCATTGGATCGAGAATCTCTATGCGGCGCAAATGATGCACTATGATTGTTAGGAGTCCTAGGAGGACCAGTCACGTTCGTAACAGATGGTGGAAAGCTTTTCAAGCTATCCAGAGATGGAGATCGCGAAGGTCCATAGTCATACAGCTCTTCTCGTGACTGTCCGTCAGACTCACTGTTCTTGCTTTTAATATAGTCAGTAGCCGATATTCGCCGAACCCCCGGACCTTCTGTTTGGGTTGTACCTGATCTTGGTGTAGCGGACGATGTGGTCGCGCTGCCTGCTACTGCAGCCTTTCCTTCAGGCGATGGCGAAGGTAACACACCCCGGACAGGACGAGTCGCCGGTGGGGCTGACGAAGGCGTTAAAGGCGGAAGTGACGGTCGTGTTCGTGACAAAGTACGAGCTGGCACTGTTGACTGTGTTTTCTGTCCTACTCTCGAAGTGACATTTGGTGGTGCTGCAGAAGCTGAAGCAGCTGCAGGCGATGCATTCTTAGTTATCGTGGAAGGCTTTTCTCGTATGACCAAAGGCTCCAGCGGATGTGCGACCGGTCGATTTCCATTTTGAACATAGCGTCCTCCACCCGTTCCAGCATGGTTTGCCATCCCTAGTGGCACGAGATCGGCATTCATATTTTTAAGTGTTTGCGCCGCCGTCTTTCGTTTTGCCCTTGGTATTTTCCAAATTTCCCCTGATGTCGCAGTGGTAGATCGAACAGGAGAAGACGAGACCAAGCGCGACTCATTGTTGTGTTGAACCAATCGACGTTTCTTAACTGGTTGTGCAACTGAGAATTCATTTTCAGAGTCACTACTTGAGTCGGCAATGAGCCGAGTTCGCAAAGCTCGTAAATTTAGTCGTTTTCGTTTAATAACGTCAGTAAGTGTTCCAACCTCCACTGATGAACTTGAAGATGCCATACGAGGTGACTTAATAGACGTAGAAGCAGAAGTTTTTTTTACCCCACTAGTATCGCTTATGGCTCGCTTCAATCTCTTCTTCCGTGTTTTCTCTACTACTTGATCTACGTCTTTATGTTTGTACTTCTTGAGCACTTTTTCCTTTTGTCGGGGACTTGGCGAGTTCTTTTGCTCTCGACTCAAGTCCAACTTTCTTTTTCCAGAGGTCTCAGCTGTTTTCTTAGATATATTCCCAACCTTCTTTTCTTTCTTTTCCTCCACTTTCTTTTTTTTGTTCAATTTAACAGATGATGGCTTCGTGTCTTCTTCATCCTCTTTTCCTTCGGCATTCGCTAGACACTGAAGCTTTAAAGCTCGATATTGTTGGCACAAAATTTTATCTTCGCAATATTGTGCGTAACAATTCACCAAGTTTTGACGACAAAAAGGACTTTTGCACTTGTATGTAGAAATCTCTCCATCTTTCTCCTTCGCTTCGACGTCAACGTGCGACGTCTCGATTCCCACATACTGTGACAGCATCATACGCTGCTTATTTGTACTCTCAGCTGACTTGGAGCCCGATTTGCGCGCTGACATGGTTGTTGGCGTCGTGGGCGCCACGTGGCGCTGCCGAGCGTGCGCCATGAGGGAGTGAGCTACCAATTTGTTTTGGCTGTCAACAACCTAAGTCCTTTGCTGTATGGTATAGTATCCGTAAAGGATGTGTAGGAGTATACTGGCTGCACTGGCTATTTGCTAGAATGTATGACCCTATTTTGGTGTACGCACACATTACCAGGTGAAACTCAAAATGTTGATGACATGACATGTCATATGATATGAAATATTACCATAAGCATAGTAAAAGACCATCAGACTGATTTCTAGTATGTTGATGATACTATTTTGTAACATATGATACGTTTTATCATATATAGTCATATCATATGCTATTTCATACATTCATATGATACTACATATCATATGCTATTTTATATAATCACCCACATTTTAGAGCACAATTGTCCGTCCACGGATAATAAAGCTAGTGTATGGCGTTATTGAAATCTCTAGATTGTGGGTATAAGCCTACTTTATGCACCTATTCTGACTTCTTTACTTTTATCGCCTAAGCTCAACTTTACTAATCTACGTGATAAAAAAAATACAGAATTTATTGATTAACAGAAATAATATTAATTTTTTATCCTCGTTCGTACCAATACTGTGGTACATCTAAATTTGCACAATTACACATTGAAGTTTTTCACCATGGTACAAAATTGCATTTTCCCGAACTATACGGAGTACGCACACAATATACAGGTTACACCTTCATCACCAAAATTTGGACCACGCCAGGGCTGACAATATTTTAGACAGTGTGCAATTGTGAACGCTCAGCAAGCAGCCATGGCGCTTGAATATTCACTCACTTCTCGAAATTCCCAGTGTCAGCACCCAAAAGCATGTTCATTTTGAGAGCTCGTTCCCATGCATACTTCATATGGCTCAGCGAGCCTTCAAGTCATGCGCGATCTTTCGGCCAACGGCCTCAAAGCCATTTTCGGTGATGAGAAAGAGGGGATTTTTGATGATAACGGTCTTAGCAAAATTCTTAGTTCTAATCCAAAACTCTCGCCGTCTCCGAAAGAGACTCGACAGAGCCGTTAACAGTATACAATACTTCTTTCACGCTCGGCCTCTACTCAGCACAAATTATGCATTCTGTAACTGTTTTCTTAAGCGGTAGGTGTTGCAACACACCACCACAAAATTGTCTAGTTCGTCAACAATGGGCTGGACCTAAGTCAGAAAGTTCAGCTTCGCATCTGCAAGGACACTAGTTTCGACAACTTTTGCAAACTCGATTGCGTCGATATTACATATTCCATACATCTGATTGCTCGCCGCGTCGTGAAGGAGTTTGTTTCACATCTATGCGTGCATCCCCCTTTCTCAAGGCATAGCTGCGATGGAGTCCAACCATGTGCTTCGATAAAGCGACATCGAAATCTCAAACGCTGTTCATATCATTTCGCTAGTTGGCGACGACATGCGATGCTTCATAGTCGGGGCGACGCGAAAGCAAATTCATCACCACATTACGCCGTGATGGCTTCTACCTTACCATAAAGATGTACTTACAACTATTGACTGCTGTGCTCAGCGATGCATGTGCTATATCGATCACAAGCGGCGTCGCAAAGGCAGGTGATTTCAGCATCATACTTGACTGCAAGTAGATCATTGTCATAATAAGGTACTTCCTAACAGCATTAAGCTGGCGCACCTCAACGCGATCACGCGCTCATGACTACTGGAGTATAGCGCAGCCTACGATATGTGAAGACGCATATCAGACGACAGGGAGTGGGTAATCTGGTTTCGACCACGAGGCATTCTTAAAGATTATCTCTTTGCCTTAACCAGCACCATTTGGCGTCCTATTAAAAAAGTGTTATGAAGCTTCGTGCCATGTCGGCATACTTGCACTGTAATTGTGACCAAGCCACACCACTATCACCAGTCTTTCGGGTCAGAAGTACTGGCCGATTTACAACAGTGATTATCGATGCGGATTCTCTTTACTTAGAGAACGCGTCACCGCTAAAGAATCTTTTGCCTGTATTGGCAAATGGCTTAGTTTAGCACATACACTCGGTATCCGCTCGCAAGTGCTCATTGTGTTTTTCAAATAACGCCTTTCTCTTTCTATGCAAAACTATGGACAAAGATATTCTCGATGTAGGTTTTTGCATAAACATGATGAAGCCTGAATAGCAGTGTCACCAGATGATTGAAACGTCGCTGGCGCACAAGCCAGTATCGGTGGTAACACAAGGCGCTTCTAAACATCTAGACGGCTTTACAATGTTCGGGATGTTGTTATCAACAAGTAACAACTCAGGGCTGTAAACCAAACCCTTTTAACGAGATTCGCTGTTTTAAAACTGGCTCCCGTTGTTCGCGATATTCATGAGGACAGTAAAAACCAGTTGCTTACAAGTATTTCACCTTTCGCTCAAAAGAGATATACCTATCTCCGTGAGGAAGTTCGTCATCTGCCCTTCCGATGGTACCCGGCCCTTCAGACCTATCGGCTGAGAGAGATGGGACACACAAGGTGCAGATGTTTTGTACTTTCGCAGAGTTGCTCAGCAGATAAATGCATCTATTACTTTGTTTATAATGGCTGAGGTACATCGCCTCCGTTGCGATTATAGATCATTTATTCCCGTGTCCCAATCGGATCCTCACCGCAGAAAGCTATACTGCGTATAAAAATTGGGTGCTCACGCGTTCTCGAAAGAGGTAGGGTCGCTTCGGTGAGAGCCGCACCCGCTCGGCGACCTTCCGTGAAGATAAGCAGCGTTACCGCCATCGAGAAAAGACCAGACACCAATTTCGCGACAATCATTCCTAACCTCTTGACCTAGCCCGCCAATTATGGCGCTTATGGACCATTAAAGCTTCATACGTGACCAATACACATGGTCAGGCGGTGCGAAACCCGCGACATCTGTCGCTTCGACTAGTTCTAAGTTGGGAACGTATCTTTACTGATATTGCGCGTGTCTATTATGCTTTTTCAGCTTTGAGAACGCTATGGATCCGTTTGAATAAGGGCCATGGCCTTCTCAGCTTCTCTCATCCAGAGGGAGAGCATTTCCCATTCTCCTCCCTCAAAGGCCAGATCGGCGACTCTTGATGAAAGCTACCCACCCCTCCTCCGGCACTCGGCTTCGGCGCTCCTAAACGTGCCTCACCACTACATTCTCAAAGATGTGAGTGTCATGGGAGCGCTAACCGCTTCCGGCTCTTTGTCCGTCAGTCATATGATCCTATCAAGACCCAAAATAGTCTAAAGCTTAATCAGCTGGTCGCTTGGTTTTATACACAGGTATTTGAGCATTTCTTATTCAACAATTGCAGGAGTTATAGTCCTTTCACTTCTCGGTGGTGGGGAGCTGTAACGGAGTTACACGTACCCTGGTATAAGGGGTGGGTCGCACAAGACGGTGTGACCACACGATGGTGTGACCACACAGTGGTGTGGCTACATCTTAACAAGAAGCCACTACGTGGCGGGACTGTCAACAATTATGCATTTCAATTAGGTGTTACTGTTTAAACAGGAAAACCTATAGATCTAGATATAGGCGGCTCTGCCACAAGTAAAACAAAAGAAATACAGGTTGGATTTCGAACGGAAGAGTGTATTTGCCTCAAGTTACGGTTTTGGGTGCTCCTGGCGTTAGCGGATTGCGATCCGCTACACTCATATTGGTTCTAAAACGTATGGTCGGTGACCTTAGCTTAGCTTCCTCTAAGCAAAGAGCTACGGCAGCCCCGCTGCTGAAGCTTTTTGACTACAATTTCTACTAAGTGTAAACTGGTTGCCGTGCACTTTGCACATATGAAGCTATGACTCTCAGAGTCCGCTTTAACGATCGCACAGCGATTAATTCGCGCGCTCCTTCAGAGAGAGGATTTGAGAGCCTACAGTTATCTTGACACATTTAGGCTAATTTCTATTTAGGCAAATACAAAATACACACAATTTACAATCTAATTAATCAAATTGTATTATTTTCTGATGTACTTCGAATCCGTTTTTGAACTTCATGAATGCCAAAAATTTCGGTACTTATGAATATTCGCATTTACACCAAGTAAATTTGTCAAATACGTTAGGGTAAAGTACGCAAAATTTAAGTACTCGCCCCGTTACAATAGGAGTCTACTTACTCGTTTGCGGAATTGTACCCAACCAAGGTGTTGTTTAAGCGACTCGCTTCAACGTCTTCAATTAATTAAAGCCTATCATAACTTTATACAAGATACAAGTAGCCACACCGTAAATGTTTATTCAACATTTATGATGTTTCGACGCAAACAACGTCATACGTGGCGCATATGTCGACTTCTGGAACCCTAAATTGTCTATTGGCTTGAAGAAAGTGAAATTTGGCAATTGTTAACATGTTGGTAATCACGACCCGCCACACTTTGATTTGGAGAAGGAGAGTCAAAGTCAGAGAAGACGTCACAGACGTGCTTGATGTACGGCAGAAATACGTGTTTGACATCGGCTTTGTGACACAATCTTTTAAAGATCATGTCACGTTTTGTAGCCATTCAAAAAGATCTACATGACCATGTTCTCATTTATCCGACTTCGATTGACAGCCGAAGCGGTGTGACATTTGTGATTCTATGTCGCTTCAGAGCGTCCGAAAAAGTTTATATTCTTTAAGCATGCTGAAGGGGTATTTTCCAGACAAGATGGAGAAATGAAGGAACTGTGACGAATTGATTCTGAAAACAAGTGAATCATCTGCAAATGTTTTGTCAAGCTAAAGCAGCATACTAAGAATTTTATAAGCCGTATGAACAACATGATTATCGTACCCAGTTTAAATGTAGCGAGTCATTGGGCGAACCACATGAACCGTTGATCCAAACCGGGTGTCCAGCAATATTTTTAACGGTTGCTAATTAGCTAGTGTTGTTTTATTTATGATACTGATCGAGCTACCAAGTTCAAACAGTTTCACAATGTTGCTTATTCTTATGAATAATTGAAAAATTATCATGTCGACTTTAGAGTATCCATGCCTATTAATATACGTCGTGCCGAATATTAATCAGCACAACTGTTTGCATCCGAGTCTTCGAAAGCATCAAGCGTGGTAAGTTTACGGAACTGTGTCAATCACCATTTAGAAAAGTCTAGCAAGTACGAACAAGCGACAATGGCTTGTGATGCGTCTATTCCAATCGAACAAACTCCAAATATGTAAGTCCTGAGTATATTTACCGCTCATTCGTAGCGAAGTCTCCGCACCTACTCAAAAATTGTTATCCACTCCATGGTATTTGTAGAACCAAACTATACCCAAAGCATTGTCTTAAGGACAACAGGCGTTCGGCATATCGTATCAACCAGGAAAGAATTCGCTCAGCGCGCGATATCAGATCAAGCGGAAGTATCCGGCGACCATACCATTCTGCACGAAAACTAAATGGTGCTCCAGACAAAATATCTGGAACAGACTGCGGACCTGACAAGGTAACGATCAGTTTTTCCTCTCACCGAATTCACACGTGCTAAATCAATAAAATTTAGACACTTCAACGAAAAATTGCCAGTCGATCCGATAAGTGTCGAGGCGCTTTAAACTCGTCTAAGACGACAGCATACCGCTCGTATACATTTGCAAGTGGAAAGGAGCCTTATGCCCACCCTCAAGCTGTGAGTACAGGGAGGTACCATGAATCTCAATGTGCTTTGAGTGAAAACACGCAACAAGTTTCTACATCGGCATATTTTGATAAGGTAGCGCGTTTTGAACAGGCAAACGCTCAAGTCAGTGCTGTGCTGACATCAGATCGATCAAATTCACTAAAAAAAGAGATAACAATTTCAGGAGTGGCGGACTCGGATATGTGCTCTCAACAACGCCACGCTTCAAGTCGGAAGCGTTTCCAGGTATAATTAAATACAATCCTGATTTCCATACTCTGATTCGAAAAGTATGCCATTAGAACGCTATACATCCTCCAAGCAGCATCAAATTCAGGCAGACGCTCCTGATCGATTCTACGACGTCAAGCCCTCATGCAAAGTAACATTGAAGATTCAGCCTTATAGTCGCGTATCAATCTAATCTCTAGCCCATTGCAGTTTTCGATAAGTGCAGCGATCGCTACCTCAAGCTTCAAATGTTCAACCATGCAGTCACGCACAAGTCGGCTATCGTCTGTACGTATTTTAGTGCATCCTATTTACTTTAAGTAAATTGAACTTGGTCATTGCAGGAAGCCGCATTGGTTCATAACATACCTCATCTTC